GTATATGGAAAAACTGTAAATCTTTCTCCCCGAAACTTGTGCTTCCTGGTCTCTAGAAAGAACCATATTCAAAGGTTTTAGCTGTTTTGTTTTTTAAAGTTTTTGTTCCCTGGTACTTAGAACCATCTTTCAAAGTAGTAGGGTCACTTTCCTGTCTCTTGATCTTTCTGATTTGGATGTTAGCTCTTAAATTTTTATCAGGGAAGAGGTGGATTTCTTCCTCTCACAATATTCTCCCCCTTCCCTCTCTGAAGCCTCCATCTCACCATACTCCCTCTTCCATTCTTCCCATATAGTTATATTATCACTTGGAATACATTAATAGTATTTACATCCTATAATTATGTAACTATAAGAATCAGTTGAGCTGCTTAGTATACTAATTCACCCCAAACTCTCTGATAGAACTGTTCATTTCCCCTCAGTGTTTTCAAACATGTCAGCTGAACTTCCAGTTTCTTGTTTCTTCCTTGACAGCCTATGCCCAAGTTTTATGTCTCCCACATGGTACTTCATTCTAGGAATTTTCTGCGCCTCTTCGTTGTGTTAAAAACCCCATGTCCTGAAGCCTCTTTCTTGTTTATGCCTTTGCTTTTTGGAGCACAGCCTCCAGTGTCTTCCCCAGAATGGGGCACAGGAGGAAAATGTTTGAATCCTTGTATGTTTTTGATGTCTTTTTCCCACTCCCATACTCTATTTTCAAAGTATGGCTTTGTGTAAATATCTAGGTTAGAAATCATCTTCCCTCCATATTTTTAAGGCAATCCTTTCTTCACTGTATTTGACATTTCATTGTTTCTATAGAGAAGCCTGACATCATTTGAATACCTGGTCCTTTTTGATGGAATCTATTTTTTCTTTTGAGATCTTTAAGTCTTTTTACTTGCAGTGTTCTAAATCTTGATGATAATATACCTTGGAGTGGATCTTTTCTTATTATTATTTTCTGCCTAGAAACTCATAAATATCTGGGAAATTTGTTTTGTATATATTTGAAAAGTTTTTCTTCTCTCCATTTCTCTTTCCTTTTTGGAATCTCTATTATTTTCATATTGACCTTCCTTGCCTGATCCTCTGATTAATACTTTATCTTTTCTCCATTTGCTATTCATCAACTTTATCATTTAACCCTTCTCTTGGTAAAAAGTCCTCCATTTTTAACTTTTAAGAAGTTCTATCTTATTCTTTGCATATTTCTATTACTGTTTCCCATTTTTATTTCATAGGTCTTGTAGCTTCTCTTATGTCTCTGAGGTAATGTAAGTTTCATGAGGTATAAACTTTGGTTTGTTCATTACTTTATGTTGAATGCCTAGAACAATGAGTGCCTACTGTAGTAGGTGAATGATAAGTATCTTTGAATTAACAAGACTATTTACTGTAGCTTATTGTGTATTCTGCTCCCTGAAGTTTCTGTTTCCCACAAGTTCCTTTTTACTGTAATATTTGTTCTGGCCTGGTTTTCTTATCACAGGCCTTTCTAATATATCTGGTGATCTTTGTTGTCTGTTAATAATTACGAATCAGGCATTAAAATGCTAATGAAAGCTCTTGCTTGGATGCAACCTGCCAAGTAGAGGTCTTTACTGTAGGGTAATCAAGTGAGGATGCAACCATTTCATTGCCAGAAACACATGTCAGTATCTGTGCATAATTTCTTAGGCTGATCAATTTCCCCAGGGCGGATTCTCTAAGCTCTTCTCTGAAGTATTTGTGTTTGGCTGCCAGCAGTATGAGAGTTGAGCTAAAAAAGAGGCTGGGAGACTTTTATTATTCACTTTATGGATTTTTAAGGTAGCTTACCCTTATCTTCAGCTTTGCCTGATGTCCTAGAACAACTCTGGCTTAGCTCCTACAGAGAATCAACCTCCCCCTTTTTGCCAGTGCGGGAAGGGGCAGTCTCCTGGCCATAAAGGATGGGGAACAGTGTTTGTAGATATAATTGCATCTTTAAGATTTTCAGCCCCACCTTGTGCCTCTGCTCTACTGGTTTTCTATTGTAGGCTATAACAAATTACCACAACCTTTGTGTTTCAAAACAACATTTATTATCTTACAGTTCTTTAGGTCAGAGGTCTGGTATGGGCGAGTTCTTTCCTGGAGACTGTAACATGTTTATATAGAATTGGATCTTATTTTTTAATCTGAGATTAAATTTCACTTAATAAACTAGTTTATTCATTTCAGTTGCTTGAAGTATGTTTTATCTAAAATTTGTCATCTCATTTGATATTTATGTTTTTAATGCTTCATCATTTTCTTTCATTTGTTCTTTTATATAATACGATTCCACTTGTATTTGCTGATTTGTCAATGTTAGTAGTACTGATTTGTTGCTAAAAACAAGGCCATTTATGAACTTAACATTCTTTCTTAAAACTCCTTTCCCAACTGCATAGAACAAAGTAATTCCTACAGCCATAGTTAGCCTTAGTCCTTTACTGAATAAGTCGCATACTCCATCTACTTCTTCCAAAATATGATTTTCTTACTTGTACAGTTTTAATATTAATTCATACCTTGGTTAGCTGGATTTAATTACCAAGTCATTTTTACAAAGAGGGCCTATGAGTGAGATCTTTAATATTGATAAATCTTTCCATTTCTTTTATATATGAACAATAAGTTTGATCAAATTCTTTATAACACACCCCCACCCCCACCCCCGGAAATTGCAGGTACTGTTCCACTGACTCCGTCACCTGGTTTGCTAATGTAGAGAAACATGTATCCATAATTTTTTCACTTGCTTTATCTGCTCATATGCATGAAGTATTCTTCCTTTACCTTTGAAGTTCTGTAACACAAATGGCAAGTCTCACTGAAGATCTATAGCTATAGCTATTTATACCTCTCTCTACTTTTTCTCAAATAAGGTATGCCCTTTCTCTCTGAATCTTTACTTTATTTCTGGTTAAAAAACGTGATTTTTCTGTTTCTAGTTGTATCACCTTCTTTGGGAATAATTACAATTATACACATATCACCTTTCCATCCTCTGTAGCATCTCCTCCCTCATTTTCATCTTCTTGTATTTCATTTCATTTTATTTCATGGGATTTTCAAAGAAAGCTTCTTCACTATTCTAACTCCTTTTGAAAATAGGTTTTATTCTACTTCTTGCTGTTGCTAATGGTAGTTTTATTTCTACTGTTTCTATTTTTTTCTTTTATTCAATTTCTTTTTTCAACTCTTCTAACTCATGCTTTTTTTCTCCTACTATCTCATTTCTCCAGTTTTATCTTTCATTCATTATCTTAGCTTTATTTCTTTTATCTACTTAGAAAAAGCCCTTGTCACTTTTATTTCTTTGAGAGAAAATACTTTGCTGAAGTATTTGCCTGATATACTTTTTCTGTTTCCTAAAGTAAGTCTTCTTCTGTATATTATTTATCTGCCTTCTGCATGTGATGTTTCTTTCAACTCCTGTCACGTTCTATGTGTATCTATATGGTAGAATCCATATTGTGTCCTTTACTCACTCATCTTTTACTGTGGTAAGTTCTCTACATGCCTGCACTTAGCTCATGAAGTTTGGAGAGGAATGGGAGGTAAGGAATGTGGCGGAGTGATTTGAAATAGCTGTCAGCTTAAAATCAGCTTAAAACCACAGATAGCATAAAACCTACAGATCCTCTGCATAAACCAGATCTCACCTTAACTTTTAGCCTCCTCTAACTTCAGTGAGAAAGCACATCTAGGCGAGCTCACAGCGTGGCTCATAATGAAGGCTAATAGATCGCAGATGCTTTGTGTTTCATAATTTGGTGTTTATTTCTATTCAGTCCACTTTGGTCACCACTATAAATATGCTTAATACTCTCCCCTCTCTCCATCATACTCTGGTTTTTCAATTGGTATATTAGTTTCTTTGGGCTGCCTCAGCAAATAACCACAAACTTGGTGGCATCCAACAACAGAAATTTATTCCCTCACGGTTCTGGAGGAATCTGAAATCAAGCATGGTTAAGGCTCCAGGGCAGAATCCTTCATTGTCTCTTTCTAGTTTCTAGCGGCTCCCAGAAATTCTTGGCATTCCTGGATTTGTGGCTGCATCACTGCAGTCTCTGCCGTCTTCTTCATAGGGCTTTCTTTTCTGCATCTCTCTCTCTCTCTATTCTCTTCTTATAAAGACACCAGTCATTGGATTTAGAGCCTACTCTAAATCTAGGATGATTTCTAAATTTGGAGTAGATCATGTTCTGAGGTTTCAGGTGGGCTTGAATGTAGAAGACATTTTTCAACTCACTGCTTGTGAATAGAAGTCCAGGTCTGAGAAAATAATATGTTGTGCCCACATTGTGACCCCTGTAGCCCTGCCAATCCATGATGAGAAAGTGAGGCTCCAAGGTATAGCCTGTACTCCTCTATTAGTCGATATCTTCACTTTTTGTTGTTGTAAGCAAGAAATTAGATTTCTCTTGTCTTATCACTTATTTTGAGGGAATATTATTGACCTCTGGAACTTTATTACTTTTAAAAAAATTCTTTCAATTTGTCCAAATATCATTGTACTTTGCAAAAATTTTTCCTCACTGTTAGTTACAAATAAAGCCATTTCTTGGGTTAATTGTGTATGGAATTTCCTTTACTGTATGATTTTGTCTTATTGTTGATATGGAATTTCCTTTACTGTATGATTTTGTCTTATTGTTGATTTGGAGGCACTTTAATGAAGTGAGTGGGAAAAATATGTATTATACAGTACTACTACATTTACTGAAAGACTACGTTTTTTTTTTTTTTAAAAGGCTGCATAGTATTTTATCTCACATACGAATCATAACTTATTTAGCAATTCCCCTATCACCCTATTTTGTTTTCCAGTTATAAATAATGATGTAATGGACATAATTATGCATGTGTCTCAGTGTGGAAAGATTCTCTTATTTCCTTTGGAGTATGTTTCTTGCTACTGGGAACTATCTGGGAATTAATGTGTGTCTCTCTTTCATGAGTGGGATGGAGAGGATGAGTCTTCTCTGCTGATGTTCTCCCATAGATCACTCCACTTCTCTCAATAACCAGTGGTGAGTCTACCTTATATGTAATCCATAGGGTGGGCCAATGGGCCTCCAGTGTTCTCTTGGCTAAAGTCCATAGCAAAAGTATTAGGAAATAATCACTGCTTTTTCTTAAATACTTCATGTTTTATTAGTTTTCTATAAACATAGAACATATCAGACTGCAATAGAGGTCATCCTTTATTAAAGATAATTCTCTTGCCCCTACAAGGATAGGCCCATGTAGATCTAGAGCTGATAGTTAGTGGACAGGTTGTTTGCTAAAATACTGAAATCCTTCTATACCACTTGGCATATTATATCATAGTAACATGATAAGCAGCTAAGTTGATTTATAACATAAACTTTAGAGTAAATTTATTAGTTGAAGTGAAATATTGTAGGATGTCTCAACAACCCCTGATACACGGGCCACCTGTCAAAACATCTAAGAAATATTTGTAGCTCTATGACTGGTTGGCCAATGTCTAGTAAACAATGCAGATACATTGTGTATTCTTTATAAAACTCTGTATTTTGGGAGAATCACCAGTTTATCTTCACCATGGAATTATAGTTCCTATTGAATCTGAATACTTTAGTTTTTATTTCTCTTTCATAGTTACTGTGTTGTAAATCTTGTGTAAGTGTATGTTATATTGTTTAAAAATAAGGACTTATAATAAGATACTGAATACAAACACCCAGGATGAAGGAACAATAAACTCTGGATATGTTTCTCAACACTTCTGTTAAATACAATGAATAACAATTGTTTGGGTCTGTGGTAACACAGAGAAGAAATTATATCAAAATTATATTATTAAAAGGTAGAAATGTTAAATGCTTAAATATTTTATTTGATTAGGAATAAGGATCTATTAAATCTCTTGGTTTAAACAAAGGAGACACAATCATTTTTTAAAAACCACCAAGAGAAAAACAGGGGAGCAAGATGGCCGAATAGGAACAGCTCCAGTCTCCAGCTCCCAGCGCGAGCGACACAGAAGACAGATGATTTCTGCATTATCAACTGAGGAACGCAGCTCATCGCCAGCAACGGATCAAAGCTGGAAGCAGAACAGATGAAACTTTGACGAGAATGAGAGAGAAGGCTCAGTCCAAATCCAAATAGCTTCTTCCCAGAGCAAAGGACGGAATTACGTACACCCAGTCGCAAAAGAAACAAAACAAAATTCCTTGAAAAAAAAAAGAGTGAGAAAGCGATTGGATAAACAAGAAAAATAATTACAATGCAACGAAAGGCATCATGAATGGCGACAGAGGATGAAAAATCATGACACGAGAGAAATGCGTGACAAACACGCAAGCAAGCCTTCAGTAAAAACCGCAACCGATCAAACTGGAAGAAGAGTATCGCCGATTGAGGATCAAATGATGAAATGAAGTGAGAAGAAAAAGAAAAATCTAAGAAAAAGAAAAGAAATGAATGAACAAAGCCTGCAAGAAAGTATGGGATTAATGTAAAAAAAGACCGCAATCTGCGTCTGATTGGGGTGAGCTGAAAAAAGTAAGGGAGACCCCCAATGGAACCGCAAAGTGGGAAAAGCACTCTGTCAGGAAATATTATCCAGGAGAAACTTCCCCAAACCTAAAAGTAAGCGGCAGGCCGAACATTCAAATTCAGGAAATAACAGAGAACGCCAACCCCAAAGATAGCTCCTTGAGAGAGAGCACATCACAAAGGACACATTAATATACACAGATTCCCAGCGTTGAAATGAAGGAAAAAAACATTAGAAGGCAGGCAGACGGAGATAACAAGGGGACCTCGCACTACAGCAGA